GGCAACCTTCCGGTTACAAGACGACCTGCCAACTCTTTGAGCCACGATCCCGTGGTTATAACAGCAGTGGTTATAACTGCTAGCTGTCTAGTGAGGTATTACCTCAGCTAATTGAAGCCACAGAACGAGGCCCCTTGACAGTTTTTGTGCTGTTAATCGTCTTTTGGAGAATTTTGTGCGCAATTATGTGACAAGTGATATTGCTTATGGTTTCATTATTGTACTAACAAATCGTCCAAGAGGAATTTCAGTGAGTTAAATTCCCAGAAAGGTGCTAACTAAGCTAGCTAATATTTGGTAATAATAACTCACTGAAAAATGGCCCCTTCTGGCTCCAAAAAACAAGCAAACAATACAACTGGTGACATTACAGCAGCTCTGTAAATCTTTAATATACAGTCTGTGTTCAAGAAGAGCTAGTAAATTTGCTTTGAGGTAAGTTTTGTCAGTTGCATTTCTGTTTGTTACTCTGCAGCATCCCCTTTTCTTTTTGTTAAAAAGAACAAAGGAGAAATGATTTCCTCCATCCTTGAATAACAGCATGCACAATTTGATATTGCTGATGTAAAATATGCAAGATAGCAATTTTTAAATGTAGAATACAAGATAAATATATTTTTAACATGAATGTGAAAAATATTGCTATTGTGCAAAAGATAACTGTCACCTACCTGTCTTGAAGATCTCGTATCGGATAGAGAAGCCTGCTCCGTGGGTCTCGTAGTCGGACACAAATTTGATGAAAAGCTGGTTTCCAGAAGAGACGACTGGAGAAGGGGCAATCTTTCCACAGTACTTCCCCACCAACTGACCGCTCTCATCGGTGCCATCTCGTACCTCCACATAGTCATATCTGAACAGAGAGGACACAAGGGCGGGAGTGTCAGTCCCACAATGTTGTATATGAATCATATTCTTTTTTGAGTCTAGTGTTTAGGTAATAAGGTTGAAAATCAGACTATTACTGCTATTATGTGCATGTGCACACATTCTCAGAGGACCACAGAGCAATACAACATACTGTGCAGGTTATGTAGTGGAAATAACACACTGTGTGCTAATGAGGTCTCAGGTTAAAACTCGGAGAACAGGTGGGCAGAGTTTGCTTTCATTATATCGGTGTTCAATGAGCACACACACACACACAAACGCGCGCACACACTGCAGAGGTTTTTCTGCTCCCAGCAGCACCGGGGTCAGATTTATGTAACTGCTTTAACTGGTGAACTTGAGCTGAACAGTTGTCTATCTGCTGTTTAACCACAGGATAACAGCCACAGTGAGCCTGTTCTATAACAGAATAAAACGGGACTCCAACGTAATTATATTTTGGCCTTTGGCTTAGATTGGTGTATAGAACGAGCAGGTGCTAAAGCTATTAAAACACACACACTCAGAGAGACACACACATGTACACACACTTGAACATCACATTCAAATGGAATTTCAGACCCACGGCTATTGAAGGGAGCAGCCACTTAATTGAGTCAGCGCAGAGTTTAGGAGTCGAAGAGGAAAACAGCTTTGAAATAGGACACACACACACGCACACACACACACACACACACACACACACACACACACACACACACAGATTCTAGCATTTGAAACTTAAGTTGGTAGAGGAGAAATCAGAGTGCTTGGCAATCGGGGGTGGTCTAACTAGCCCCTGGTTATCTGTGGGTGCGAGTATTTTCAGGCACTTGTTAAAGGTGTACATTAAAAGCATTTGAGTTGCGGTTTTCACTCTAGTGCCTGCATATATGTGTTTGTGTGTGTGTGTGTGTGTGTGTGCAAGTTTGAACGATGTGCAGGGATGAGTTTTCCGTGCTGTGTTTTGACTGTGAGTGACAGATTGAGTGCTCCTCCAAAAGCAGATTTCAGTTCAGGTTTCCAACATTCCTAATTGCCCAGAACACGAATATCCTGCCAAGTTTTCCGCTCTCCAGGCCACTTACTGTGGATATCCATACCCAAACCACAAGGGCCTGTGGCACAGTTCCTCCATCTTAATCAGGAACCAGACGAATAAAATATAATTCACACATAGTACATTTAAAATAAAACAAAAAAATTGATATATGTGTGTGCAAGGCGCAGCGAGTGTGTGGTCACAATCAGTCGTGCACATGCTCTGTCTGTCTCCTTAGAAGAAAATATGTTCCTTCTGGCGAGCAGGAACTCTTTTCATAGTTTTCCTTGATTCCCAAATTACTGTCAAAACACCGGGGCTCCTTAGTGATTCCAAACTCCCTTAATGCGTGGGATTTTACACAAAAAGGCGATTTACACTTTGAATGATGGCGAGGGTGGACCAAATCCCTCAGGTGAGACCTCACATGTATCAACATGTACCCTTTGACACCTTTTTCTGCTAAATGGTTTACTTCACCTGCCTCAAATTTTTTAAATTGTTTTTGTAAAACAGGAATTGAATTACCAGCGGTGGTTTGGGATTAAGTGGGAAGGGGAGTGCCCGCCGGGTTTTCATATGCAAAACATTAAGGCGAGCAAGAGGGACTGGCATGTGAGAGGCGAGGACAGAGGGTAACTAACTGTGGAGCTGGACAGAAGTGTCAGCGCTACAAATTAGGTCTCCTGAGGCAGTGCGGTGGATGGATGGCTTCAGTTGTCTTTCGGCTCAGATGGGGTGATCTGGGGTGATATGGAGCTGTCAAGACACACTGAGCCTTGTTCTTCTTCTTTCCTTTAAATCAGCGGTCCCCAACCTTTTTTGCGCCACGGACCGGTTTGTGCCCGACAATATTTTCACGGACCAGGTGTCGCGGATAAATACAACAAAATAAAGCTAGTACCGGTACAGAAAAAAAAGAAGATCTATTCAAAACAAACGTGAAAAGACCCAGGAAAACCGAGTTAACGAAAAAAAAATGATAACAAAATAACGCTAAAAACTGATAAAAACTCTGAAAACCATACATTTCACACCCGAGTCTCACTCTCGCGGCCCGGCACCAAATGACTCACGGACCGGTACCGGTCCGTGGCCCGGGGGTTGGGGACCGCTGCTTTAAATCTTTAGCGTGTCAGGTTAAAGGTTTGATACCAAGAAAGCAGCTGTCTGCCTGCCAACAGCCTTGGATAGCCAGATGTTTACACTCGAAATCTTTTCAGAATGACCCCACACACAGGCGACGTCACTGCATTACAACTGCCATCAAAATCTGACTGAAAAGATTGTGTTCACTTCATGTATTTTTAATATGTATTGTATTTATAACACCCTGTGGCTCTATAATATTTCTGAGGATGGGTGTAGGTTGGCACATGGCTGCCCCTCCCTTAGCGTGGTTCTGCTGAACGTTGCTTCCCGTTAAAGGGAGTTTTTCCTTCCCATTGTCACCAAGTGCTTGCTTGTAAGGGGTCAACTGATTGATGGGGTTTTCTCTGTACTGTTGTCTTTGCCTTACAAAATAAAGCACCTTGAGGTGACTGATTTGGCACTATATGAATAAAACTGAATAGATTCTAAACTGATTGAGTCACCTGAGAAAACAGAGTTTATTTTCAAAAGTCTTACTGGCATAGGCATTTTCTTCATTTGAGTTTAACTCTTGACAGGAAGCTGCAACAATAAGATTTCTTCCCACTTTGTTTCGAGTCTACACACAATCAATTTCTTCTCTCCTCTACTCTCCTGTCCTCTCCTTTCCTCTCCTCTTGGTTCCCAGCTCACAAAAGAGAACATCAATCTTCCCATGGCCCTGCTCTGTTCTATCAGCAGACTTATAATTCACCTCAGAGCCTCTGTCTCTGCAGCTATCCCCCCCACCTCCCTCCCCCACAACTGCCAAAAGCTGAGCATTGCCAGATGCCTAAAAAATTGATGCAGAGATGCATCACTGCGATGAAGAACAAAAGAAGAGCAAGCTGCAGTACAGCCGATTTTCTGCAACTGATTGAGTTTCTGTGTTTGCATGCATGCATGCATGCACACGCATACACACACACACACACACGTGTGCAAGCTCAGCATTAGGCGTGGGAAAAGAAGCTAGACAACTAACTAACTAATGTTTTCATCTCATCAGCCCTCACAGACTGCCTTCTCACCCCTCCAAGCAAAGAGAGGAAAAAGCTTGTTTTGGACTTCTATTTTGATTCCGATCACACCGAGAAAAGCTGTTTACTGCATTTCCACCCTGGCACATCATCATCATCAGCTTGGATGGCCCTCGTGAAGACGGCGCAGCAGGAGCGAGACTGCAGATGGAAGAGAGAACACGCCCCGGGGGGTCCTCGCTGTGGAAGAGAACGCGAGAGGAGACCTCCTACTCCAAAATGTCTCTATTTGTTCCTAAATGACTGGTGCATCAGCCAGAACTCCAGCGGTTCTGCGCCACCGGGTCCTACATGCTCCGCTTCTCTAACAGAGAATCCATCCGGGCCCTTATCATCTGGAAGACGGGAAACACTTGGCTGGGTACTTTGACGCCTTCAGAAGTCACTCCCGTTGCCAGCTGTGTTAAATGCAGCTCTAATCTGCTACTCTAAACACCTGTGGGTGCTCACCTCTAGGGGCTAAGAATCCTGAGGGGGGGGGGGGGGACAGAGGACAGTTAACAACTTTGATTTTAGATATTAAAGGCAGCACATGAACATGGCCTACTTATAAACTTCCCCATAGTTTTGGGGGGTTTGCCGCTTTTCTGCGTCCCACTGACCTGTCGAGCTAAACCCAGATTCCTCTTCCCAGGAGCCTTTGCGATGACCTTTTATGCTGCATCACTGCTGCTCTTGTTGTTATTCCCCATGACAATGCAATCTAGTTGAGCTGTGCACCTATTTATCTGTCTAGTCTGCTTTGGGCCTGGGTGGGCCTGCTAGCACACCACAACACACACAGATAATTACACACACACACAGTTAGCTGCCTACCACAGTGCTAATAGTGAAAACGGTTTGCCAATCCAGTGGGGAAATTAAAGGAAAAAAGAGAGGGAAAGAAGCGGTGGGTGGGTGCGGAGGTGGTGGTGGTAGGGGGGCAATGTAATTCTCAACGACCTTCGCTTCACCGACTCAAATATATTAGCCTGCCTTCTTTCTTCAGGCACAGAGAGAAAGCAATCCGCTAGTGTCAAACGAGAACATTAGCCCTCCTCACAAAGCTAAAGAGAAGGCGACAAACCACCGGCCTAACAATATAACAGTTATATTGCCTGAAGCTTTCCCATGGAAATAATCTGTCCTCCCTCTATAAATGTCTGCTTGATATGGTTCTACAAAAGCAATGCAATCTAAGGCAATGCAATAACACTATGACAGACTGTATAAGGCTCACACAATTGGTTAGATTTCTTAATCAGACCATTTATAAGCTCATGCTTGCTGCGGGAACCCCCCCTCAGAACAAGAGCTCTTTCTTTGCTATCGCCCCTTGCTTCAACTGCATAAAGAACAAATGCCTGACCTCCTTTCTCAAGCATTTCTCTGTCTGCAAGCTGACATGAAAACATGTCACCTATAACATGTAAAAACAGCTCTGGGGAACATAAGTGGAACTGGCTAAAAAGCAGACTTGGGACGGCTCTGCAGGACCCGGGGAGACTTAACAGGAAAACGGACCTTGTTGTAGGCTGTCAGAAAATTCCAGGCCCAGGGACTCAATGTATTAATGAGACTTGTCGAACAAACTGCCACTTGGGGTTTTGGTAAAACATTGTTAAGGTTTGAATAAGTGAGCGGGGGAGGGCAAAGATCAGTTGATCTCTGAGTTACTTTTTCCGAGCCTGGGGGCGGGACATGCCTCGCTCAAATAAAATGATCTGTCGTTCTCCACTTTCCATCCCTCACTGCATCCCCATTGCATGTGACATTCATTAACCTAAGCCT